TCTTCAATATTAAAAACATTGACTAGAAAACACATCAAGTAGCAATTCAACATATCATGCATTTGATCCAAATGTTATAGTAATTTTGTATATATCCACGATATAGTAAACTATCTTCAATATTAAAAACTTGACTAGTGAACATATCAAACAGCAATTCAATATAGTATTCATAATCCAATTTTTCTAGTGATTTTGAATAGGAAACAAAGCCTTTACATGTTGCTTTTTGAATTTAATAGTAACACGACATTGCAGACAAATGCGAAGTAAAACATAATTAACTTTATAAAATTTTCTTGTAAAATGATTTGATTTATAGCAGCATGGTTGGTATTGCTTATCTCAATTTGAAAGAGGGCTAACGGATGGGCAAGGTTTTAAGTTTCCATTTGAAAGAGGGAAGCAACCAATAATGGGGCTGGCTAGCGTGAAAAGACTACATAAATTCTACTAATTGAGATCCAAACTCATAAAAAATTTAGCCTCAACAACCACTCCCATTCCGCCCTTTCAAGCTAGCACCATAAATTTCAATTTCCATTTTACTGCCACCACATGGCATCATAGGATCATTGATGTCATTTTACTAATCAATAAAACAAATGTAATTATTCTGCAATTATTATAACTTAATATATGTTTCCTATTAGAAACTCTTTGTGATTGAATAAAAACTATACAAATATTAATACCAATCAATTCTCTCATATTCTAGTCATTTTATTAGAGCTCTAGGTTTTTACTTATATATTTTCATAACAGCTTTCATTGTTGCATCCTTCCAATCCTACGTCCTTCATTGTTGCACTTTTCTTCTTTTCTCATATTTTTTATAAGGGCAGCCTTTATTGCCACATTGCCATGAGCATTTCCCATTATTACAGCCATCATTATTGCATTTTCGCAAATTGGTCCAATTATTGTAGCCTTCATCCCTACATTGTCGCATTCTTTTTTTTCCTTTTCTATTTTTCTTATGATAAACCTTTAGCTTGCCTCTCCATGGACAACAATAAGGATACATAAAACTACTAGAGCTAGGTTCACGTGGAATTGAAGTATGCAAATTAAATATAAAAAGATAGTTGCAAAACATCCTTTCAACACGCCGATCGAATGAATAGAACCATCTAAAATGATTACAATTGAGTCTGCACATTCTTGAAGGGAGGAAAAATATTGATCCATCATAAGGAATAGAAAAACAACAAGAATAGCTAGCGCTAAGAAAAATATGACAATATTGAACAACTTGTTGACATTGTCACACAAAAATAACCAAAAACATATCAGACAAATTTAGAGTAAATGACATCCAAGAATTCGCTTGAGTGTGAAATGGCAACATAATTTTCACCTGTTTGGAACCACATTCATAAATACTATTGCCTCAATTCCCACTCAAACTAACTTTTATTTCGCCATTCCTAGCTAGATTTATAGATTTTGCTTCCATCTTGCTCTATTCACTTCATTTCATTGTAATTTCATCATACATATTAATGACGCAAAATGACGCAAAATGACGCATACCATGACGAAAGGCACGACATGGCATATCAAAACAGAACACACTATTTGTGATGAGCAAGGATAGTAGTGTATGGCACATTTCCCCATGGTGCACACAAAGTTGGTTTTTTAAATTTACTATAAAAAAAAATTGTGTACATACAATTCAATTCTTCTATAGTTTCATATATAACATCTAAAGTTCAATATTTGATATGTTACTCAAACTTTTAACATCACAAAAAAAACACGTCCTACTAGAATAAAATTCATCCGCTTTTGACACAACCTAAGCTACAACTACATATAGACGTAGATTGTTACAAAGCAACTCTCGGGTCATTAAATCTATAATTTGCCTCTTCCACTCCTTATACTCGGCTGGACGCATTTGATAAACAAATTCATCTGAAGTAACTAATTCTAGAATGAAATTTGTAATATATTAGAGCATTTTCAATGACAACCACCAAATGGATAAACTGTTGGTCATGATGTCTCGCAATCTCTTCCCTGGGGGTTGTCACTTTTTAGGTATCGGTTCATCAAACTCACTATCTTCTAGAAAAACTAATATTAATTCATCAAGAGTCCTGCCCATGGGCTCCAGCTTGAACCACTAACATCTTTTCCTCGTCAACTAGAAATTGAGACTCTAAAATCTTCATCCTCTCCCATATCACTGTCCATTTCTTTCACTGCTCCCTGCTCAGTGAAATACACCAGACCTTATTTGAGCAATTTGTTGCACAGTGTCCAAAATCATGGCACTTGATACGCATTCTAGATGGGACAGATTTAGGAATGCTAGTTGACTCCACCTATTCTCCATTTTGAACTAGTTTCTCCTCAGGTGAGTTTAGGTTGGATGCTTCATTAAGTGTATTCTTGTTGCTTGATGCCCAGGTTGAACACCGTCTGTCAGATGTGGCATTCATCCGATGATGTTGTTTTAACTAATAAAGTATAAAGAACATATCTTGCCTATAATAGGTAAGCAGGTACTTGTGTTGCATTTCACTTTTCATCTTGAATTAGGTAGTAATTTTGCATATTCCTTCACGTTGGTATAGATGTCTTCTTTAACTTGATGACAACTAGCTTTACTATTCTGTCTGGTGAAATATCCTTCTGTTCAAAGACTCGTTACATTGCTTGAAGCCACTTGATGAGTTCTTCTAGATCCTTGTGACCGTCAAAATCCAATAAATCCTCATTTACTTTAAGATCTCGACTTCTTTGATATTTCATATCAAATCTTTGGGATAGTGGTTCTTCATCACTGAAAATTGTCTGGTGGAAGGGATTTACATCATCATTTCAATCAAACAAATCATTGTTGTGGCTTCGAGTGATCCTTTTAGATTGTCTCCTTTTGAAAGCGACAACCCTCTAGTGTAGTTAGAGGATTTTTCGCCGAATATTCTCCATAAAAAGTTCCTGAACATCCCTTTACGAATTTTTATAAATGGCATGGTGTCATTTCCTCCCAATCAGGTTTCTAGCAATTGTCTCCTCAATGGAATGACTAGAATTTAGGTTTGTTGGGTGAAAGAGAGTGTATGGGGCAATTTATGGTGCACAAAAAAAAGATAGGGTTGTTGATTTTGAAATAAGCAAGGGAAAAAGGTTATGGTTTTGTTTTGGTTAGCTATTAGTGGATTTTGGTAACCTTATGGTAGAACTAGGGTTAGGCTATCTCTAATACCAAATGATACCGGCATTCAACCAAATCACAATGAAAAACAGATATTATTACCAACTTCTAATAGGAAATTACAACAAAACAAATGGAAATCGGAAATTGCAACAAATGACAACACAAATTCACTCTAAGATTAGATCCAGAGGTGGTAGTGGTTTGCATGGAAGGGGCAACAGGCAGTTGGAATAGCAGGAAAACATCAAAATTGTTTTCTAAATGATGGAAGCGAGGGAAAGGGCTCGTGGCAAGGAACGGAGGCTGGAACAGAATAACCCGCAAGCTGGGTGGCAGCAACAAAGCAGGATGATCAGATGGTAGCAGGAAACAACAGTACCTTGCTGTTTGGACAGTAACACAAGGTAGGAGGGATGGAAAAACAGGAAATCAACAAGGGGATGTGGTTCTGGCTTGCGGGGGAAAACTAGCGATGTTGATTGTTGTCCCAAACAAACACGCACAAAACTAACCATAAATATCAAGAAAGCAAATATATAATACTAGGATAACTAGGCGCAGGACCCACTCTCTTTTGAAGCACTCCCTAGAGGGCCAGTCGACCCCTCCCAACTCCTGGACCGAACAGGTCCAGGATTCCCAGGCGCCACATGTTAGGAAACTCACAGGCTTTATTCATAGTTATAATTTAATGGTGTCCTTTTACAGCAAACTATCCAATTAGAAAATCATGATCATATCCGTACTTTCTATGGAGTAAATGCTCGATTAAACAAATGATAAAGACCCAATTTTAAAAACTACTTCATATATAATATATTTCACTTTAAGAACTTCAATTCTATAATCACAACTTACGGTGTATTAAGATCAAGGCCACCCATAGGCTTGATCTTTGAAACAGAAAAAAACTGCCACCTTCTATGGCTATGAGAAAGACAATAACAACTGATGACAAAGACTACCAATATTGAACGCATAAAGCTTTAGCTAAAACTACTGTAGGACAGTTAAATTTGGTTCAAACCAACGTACTGGTTCGGTACAGAATCAATTGTCACGATTCAATTCACTATCTCAACATGCAAGCAAATCATTGTCCAGCATGTTTTGACTTCTCTCAATGATACATCAGTTAATGGCTCTGTTGGCATGTTTATCAAAGATAGGTGGTGCAACCAAGACAACCTAATCACCATCTATACCAAACAAGTATTTCCATGATAATAATACCTCCAAATTTCTCTAAATTCACAGCCATAACCATAGTTTCATTCATCATCCTTTCCTAAATTTCAATCTCTTTGAAACTCTCCCCAAAAGTCAAGAGGCGTCTGGGACAGCTTATAAGTGCGGGCAGCATTTTTAAAACCCCGTCTTACTATTTGGAGAACATGTTTCGATAGCTTATCCGAAAACGCGTTTGAGTTTTTACACTAAACTTACGCCGCGGGCCACCTGCGGCTGCCCCAAACACACCCTAGGTTTGAGAGATAGAGAGAAATCCAAAGAGAAAGTAGCAAGTTAAGCAGATTGAGCAAGAACATTTGATTGACGCCGTTCATGTAGAAGCAGCAAAATGAATGATACTCCATTCATATGAAATCAACAAATGCACTCCCAAAAAAATCAGCAAGCCGATACCACCAGATTATGGTCTTGCCCACTTCAAAATTTTCAATTTTTTTGAGTTTACTCATTAAACTAAGCTGAATAACCTAGTCTTTCACGCTTCATTATAAAGTTCGTTTCGAATCAAAATATCCAAATGCATGAAGAAAGTAGCTAAAATAAAAAGAATCAAGGGTTAAAAATGTTGACAAACCCGACAAACGAAGGCTGCTGTATCCCTCGCCCGATCTAACGGCGAGCAGTAGACTGCACTGAACCTCACTCCCTGTGAATTGAGAAACACAGCTAGAGCCCGCGCCTGCCTTTCCCCATTCCCCGTCAATCCCGCTGAAGTCCACCGCCCACCAACCAGATCCGGCCTCAAACTCACTCCGCATTCACCATGATTAATCAACACCAACTCCCGCATCAACTCAACACCGCCAGCATCAGAATCGAATCCACGGGAGAACACGGCCGGAGGAAGAAGGACATTACAGGGATCCCAAACTTTTATAGAGGGGCCGAGAAGTCGGGGAGTGCCGACGGTGGAGAGCTGCGGGGATAGTGGAGAAGCGGAGGCGTGGCAGGGGAGGATCTCCGGTTCTTGCTCCAGAACCTTCTCCTTCGAAGGTTTAATAGCTCGCGGATTCTGTTCCTCCTCATCTTCTTGGAATGAGTCCTCCTCACCGTGGTATTGCGACGACGGCGCGGAGCCCATTGAAGCTCAGATCCGCGGAGGCGGAGCTAGGCGGCGGTGAAGCTGCTTGGCTGCATTATGAGGTAACTGCCGGCGAGGTGCAGAGGAAGGCGGAGAGTGCTAGATTCTGAGAGATTTCCGGCAGATCTGAAGAGTTAATTGATGGGGAAGTAGAAGCAGAGGGTTAATTAATTATCCAAGTTTTTTTTATTTTTGGAAAATTTACAAAGTAGTACTCGATTACTATGTATTTATGTATCTCACACCTAGGGGTATAAACGAGCCGAACACGGGCAAACCCTCGCTCGTTTATATTTCAAGCTCAAAAAGTATGTTCGTGTTCCGCTCGTTTGTTTAACGAGCCGTTCACGAATAAAGAGTCATTTTAACAACCCTAATCACATAGCCATAAGATCCATAAGATCTTAAAGATTGTGGCAAGATTTAAAACATCATTTGAATCTAAATTAATAACTTTTATTCTATTTTCTTCATCAATACTTTTAATTGATTATAAATCTCTATAGCCTTGTAGGCAATTATTTTTTTTTTTTTAAATACTACTCATCAAAAATATATACTTAATTGATTAATAGTATTTCGAGCCAAAACGAGCCGAACACGAACGAGCAAATATTGTTCGTGTTTGGCTCGTTAACTTAGCGAACAAACCGAACACGAGCTTCTTAACGAGCCGAACACGAGCTGTTGCGAACAACGAGTCGTTTTGGCAGCCCTACTCACACCTAATTTTTTTATCTACAAACATAACGTTTGACTTATGTATAATTGGTTGAATTGGATGCTATGGATATAAAAATCAAAATTTTGGTGTGAGATACTCGTGAGAATTAGGTGTTATATTTATAAATCCCTCAGTTTAAGGGGCGGATACATACATACATATATATATACATATATATTATTAAAAATTTGATAAAATGAATAATATAGGTTGGAGTTTTATCATGAATTTTGATATTTTAGTGGAGATTTTTAGAATGGATGAAAGAGGATGGCTGATTTGTAAATAGCAAGCCAATATTTCAAAAGTAAAATATTAATATGTGATATGAAAAATTTAGGCATTATAGATAAAAAATAAATAAAGTTGAACTCTTAAATATATAAAATCATAAACATTGGTTGTATGGTTTTTTGTCAATGTTATATTACTAAAGCAATAGAACATTAAAAATAGTGCAAATTTTGAGGTAACTGCAGCTTTTTTTAAAAGCTATTGATCAACAATTGTCTCAAAAGGCCGTTGGGCAAAAGCTGTAGCGAGAAAGCTGTGTTTGTTTGTTTATATAGCTCTGTTGCAGTTGTTTATAATACAAAAGACTTTTTTGTCAATGTATTGTTGTGTTGTTCATAACAAAACTACTTCATGGTGAATAATGCATGCATGATGTATTGTTGTGTTGTTCATAACAAAACTACTTCAGGTTGAATAATTCATGCATGAAAATATAAATTACATTCAGAATAAAAAAAAAGTGGTAATTTCGAACATTACAACTAAAAGTTGACATCTCACTAAATAGTGAATAGCACAATAAAAAAAAATTAAAAATAAAGCTATTAAAACAACAAATAACAATATCATGATATTGAATTTAAACTGCACTCGATCAATTCCATGAGATAACTTCTTCATGTTTGATTACTATCTGACGTGGAATCATTTGACTAACCCACTCACCTAAAGAAGTAACAGTTCTCTACTCATCAATTTCTTATACACCTATAAAATTCTCCCATAGCTATAATCCTGTGCAGAGAATACTGCAATCCACAGTTGTACTACAAAACTCTAAAAGCTTCGGAAGACCTCGAACTCATATTTTCTGAAGAATTAAAACAGTAAACTACAATCAGTTATATGAAATATCAGCTACTAAGAATAATATAAATACATAATTAAAGATTTATAAAGTTGTGAGTTCTCATTGCAAAAAAGATAAATCGATGAATAATCAACCATTACGAAAAGAAAGAATACTTTAGGAAAATAGTTTATGGTTGTCTTTAAACCATGTAATACTGAGCTAGTATGTGTCGCAAAAGTATATCATCACAAAGACTGTCTTAAAAAACCCCAACATTAATATGATTGTAAAAGAAAAATATCTTGATTGTCTTTAAACCATGTAAAATCGAGCTTATATGTGTCTCAAAATCATATCACCCTAAAATTCATTCATTAAAACCGCAAAAGTCACATGCCCTAAAAATGAAGGAATTTTGATTGACTTAATGACAATTTCATAATGTCAAATTTCACAGCAGCATATAAGTCATTTATGTCATCATAGACCTAAAAAAAAAAACACGCAAGAAAAATTTTTATATTAAACCCACAGTTGCCTAGAAGTCATCTATGTGAGAAAAAAATATATGTCGATAAAATGAAAAAGTAATTTGCACATAATTGAAATTCCACATGAACATCATTGCATATAACGTCATTACAATAAACAACAAGCGTTTTTACAACACATACATAAATAAAGAAAATATAACATACAAAATCATTTCACACATTAAATATTGCACTTGTAATTTACTTTCTCAACTCCATCAATCTGCCCAACACTTTTCCTCATCACATGTACAATACTTATATAAATCACATTCAAATTGTGATATTATATGACCTAGATAATATTCACACGCGTCAATTGGGACATGTGATTGATCTTCATCTGCACTATTGAAATCAATATTACTGCATAAATGATGCCAGCAAATATAATTACCAAGAGTCATTGGTATCCTTTTGAACCAATCAAATAAAACAAAAGAGAGAAATGTGGAAGAGAACAAGAGAGGAGAGAACGGTCGTGCCCTAGACAAGGAGAAGAAGAAGAAGCCGAGCCCTAAAAAGAATAAGAGAAGAAGAGGAGCCGAAGCCTTGCAAAGGAGCAGGAGGAAAATGGCGTTGCGTGCGCTGCTAAAGACTGAATCTTGTGAAGGAAGAAGTTCCGGCGAGAAGATCAGCAGCGCGCGCATCCTGCGGGAATGAGGGGAAGCTCGATTTGTGGGAAAAAGGACCGAATCGAAGCTTATATTGTAATATTTTCTTAATTTTTTTTAAAAAGAGTAATTATGTAAGGATTATTGTATAATTAATAAATAATTAATATAAATAATATTATTAGCTATTAATAGTGAATTTTATTATTTGATGATAGGAGGAGATGGTAAATGTTAGAATTTTTAATGTTTAGTTATTTTTAGAATAATTAGTTAATTAAAATAGTATTAAATGTTAATATTAAATCTTGCTAAAATAGAAAATTTGTAGGTTGAGGAACGTTTGAGAATGAAGGGAGAAGAAGAAAGTACGAGATAAAAGGTTAGTGTTTGAATTAATATTAATTATGATTTAATTATTAAACTAAATTTTAATGTTGAATAATGTTAGAAATTTGAGGTGGAAAATATTTGGATCCAAAAACAAGAAGAATTGACAACATTAATCATATTAGAGTTTTCTATTTAAGTTTTACGATTGCTTTACATTGAGGTTTATAAATGTGAATTGTAAATTTTACTGAATGATATTAGATTTTGGCAATTCAAGTTATTAAATTGGGCAATCGAAGGGAATAGAACGATGAAGGCTTGAAGTGAATATTATATTTTTAAATTTCAGCAATTATCACTAGTTCAATTTGTATGTTCTATTCATGCATACCCTAATTCAATAATAGATTTTTCATGTTATTACACAAGATAAATATGTTCGTTAAAATATAGTCCCATAACAATTTAGTTTATGGAGGTATTAGATTATTGCATGACTCTAGTAAGGATATACAAATTAGTTTATCGCATGATCACATATACATGTCACATTATTGTTTTAACCTCTTGATATTTAGTGAATGCGCATATGTCAATTGATTTCATGATTTATAAATATAGCATATAGAGGTAAAATATTTTATAAGAAGAGAATGCATGATATGCATTATTGTTTTAACCTCTTGATATTTAGTGAATGCACATATGTCAATTGATTTCATGATTTATAAATAGAGCATATAGAGGTAAAATATTTCATAAGAAGAGAATGCATGATATGGAAGAATGAAATAACTTTTATATGAATGTTTGTATGTCAATGTTCATTAGATGAGTTCACCCTCTAATAGTACAGACATGTGATGTCAGTATATTCGCGCAAGTAGAGATTTTTCTACCATCCCAGACAATTGTAATGATTAGATTATCAATCAATGTGCCAATGAGATAATATCAGTTAAGGATGAGCAGACAAAGCTTAACGTTCTAGACAATTTTAGTGTTTACATTGCTAACCACTATACCGATAGAATAATTCGACCAGCGGCAGGAAAGGGGCTTTTCAGTTGAGACAATTGTAATATTTAGGACACTAACTATTGTACTGACGAGATAATATCAGTCAATGATGTGTTAAGTTTTGTTGATGATGATCCTCAAGTAGACATATGTGTATGTAAATAGTATAAAGTAAAAATAAAGTTAAAGTAAATGCATATAAAAATTTGTATATTTTGATTTAAAAGTTTTCATTGATACTCGCATTAAGATATATTAGATTTTTATAAAAATGAAAAGCTAGCATATTTTACTATTTCTTATAAAGATAAGAAGATCAACATGAATATTGGTTTTTTTTTCTTGAATTAATGTGGTTGAGAAGTGTGATTATTCCTGGGTTATTTTTTAAAAAAACTCATAATCTGCTTTAATATTTTTTAAGTTTCTTAAACTTTTGAAAAGATAAACGGGAGATGAGCAAATGTACACATGAGTTGAGAATAACAATAAAAAAGGTACAAATTTATACTTATTGATTAAATTACTTTTTTTTAGTGTCTCTTTCATGTTATTTGAATATTAAATTGTTAATTATAGAAATATAATAACAAGAAATTTATTTTCCAACTTCCCATCATTTGTTCTCGTCATAATTAATTCCAAGCACGGGATGAATATTAATAGTAGCGATCACAATTTTCACTTGTTTGTTGAAAGGATATGCTGAGTTATCTTGCAAAATAACCCATTTTTTTCCAAATTCCAAATATCCTCTTAATAACACCATGTAAAAATAAGTGTCTATTATTAAACATCTTGTTGACCTAAGCTACGGCATTGGCTCTTTCAAAGTTAAGAATATGATA